ATTACAACAGACCTTGCAGAAATCCAAAGGATAATCAATACTTACTTTGAGAACCTAAATGCCAAAAAGATGGAAAATACCAAAGAAATGTACAGATTCCTAAATACATATAAATTACCAAAGTTAAATGAAGATGACCTAAAAACACTAAACAACCCAACATCGACCAATGAAATTGAAAACATAATTAAAAACTTACCAACTAAGAAAAGCCTGGGTCCTGATGACTTCATTGCTGAATTCTACAAGACATTTATAGAGGAACTACTGCTACTATTGTATAAATTCTTCAATGAAATTAAAGGGGAGGAAATAATCCCAAATTAATTCCTGGAAGCAAGCATCACCTTGATCCCCAAAGCAGAGAAAGACCTAACTGAAAAAGTGAATTATAGGCCAATCTCACTAAAGAACATAGAGGCCAAAATCCTTAATAAGATATTGGTAATTAGAATGCAAAAGACTGCCAGACGATCATACACTCTGACCAAGTGGAATTCATCCCAGAGACACAGGGATGGTTTAACATACACACATCAATAAATGTAATACACTATATTAATAGAACTAAGGAAAAAAAACATATGACCATCTTAATAGATGTCAAAAAAGGATTTGACAAAATCAACACACCTTCATGATTAAAAAAAAAAAAAAACTACCAAAAATTGGAATAGATGGTCTCTACCTCAATCTGATAAAAGCTATCTGTGAAAAACCAACCACCAGTATCATACTAAATGGTCAAAAACTGATATCCTTCACAATAAAATCAGAAACAAGTCAAGAATGTCCACTATGCCAATCTTGTTCAATATATTTTTGGAAACATTGGCCAGAGAAATAAGACAAGAAATAAATAAAAGGAACAAAAATAAGAAATGAAGAAGTCAAATTGTCATCATTTGCAGGTGATGTGATACTCTATATAGAAGACACAAAGAACTCCACAAACATTCTTCTAGAATTAATAACCAAATTCAGCAAAGCATTTAGATACAAGGTCAACACACAAAAGGTAATAGCTTTTCTGTACAAACAAAAAAAGTCTCATTGAGACAGAGATGATGTAAACAGTTCCTTTCAAAATAGCATCCAAAAATTGAAATGCTTGGGAATCAACATTAAAAAGAAGTCAAAGACCTCTACTCTGAAAACTATAACACTCTGAAAAAAAGAAATTGAAGAGGATAGCCGAAAATGGAAAAACATACTTTGGTCCCAGGTAGAAAGAATCAACATAGTGAAAATGGCCATACTTCCAAAACTGCTGTAGAGATTCAATGCAATCCCAGTTGAAATCCCAGCAGCATATTTCACAGTCCTTGAGAAAAAAATCTAAAAATTCACTTGGAACAAGAAGAGACCTACAATAGCAAAAGAAATTCTACGCAATAAATACATGACAGAGGATATCACAGTCCCCAACTTGAAACTATACTACAAAGCTACTGTGATGAAGACAGCATGGTACTGGCAAAGAAACAGACCTGAAGACCAGTGGGACAGATTAGAAGATTCTTCAACTCCAGACACTCAGCCACCTCATCTTCAACAAATGAGCCAAATACTCTCATTGGAGGAAAGATAGCCTCTTTAGTAAATGATACTGCTCTCACCATGCACTAAACTAAAATTAAAATGGGTTAAAGATCTAAATATTAAAATAGCAAGACTAAAACAGCCAGAAGAGAAGTTAGGAAGAACACTTGAAGATATTGGTCTAAGAAAAGATTTTATCAAAAAAACCTCAGTTTCCCATGAACTAACACAAACAATCAACAAGTGGGATTGCTTCTTTTTAAAAACCTTCTGGGGCCGGGGATTTAGCTCAGTGGTTCGGTGGCCTGCCTTGCAAGCACAAGGACCTGAGTTCTATCCCTGGTTCTCCCTGCCACAAAATAAAAACCTTCTGTTCAGCAAGAGAAACCACCAACAGTGTGAAGAGAACACACAGTGTGGGAAATATTTTTCACCAGCTGTTCCTCAGACAAATGTCTACTATCTAGAATATATAGAAAACTTAAAAAATCAGACCTCCCAAATTTATAGACCCAGTCCAAAAACGGGCATCTGAAATGAACAGACAGTTCTCAGACAAAGAAGTAGAAATAGCAAATAAACAGATGAAAAAATGTTCAACACCACTGGTCATTCAAGAGATGCAAATGAAAACAACACTGAGATTCCATCCCAGAAAGAATGATTGCTATCATGAAATCAACCAGTAACAAATACTAGCAGGACTTTGAATAAAAAAGGAACCCTATTCTATGGCTGGTGGGAGTATAGACTGGTGCAACCACTGTGGAAATCAGTATTGAGATACCTCAAAGAATTAGCATTGGAAGTCCTACTTTATACAGCTATTCCACTTCTGGGTATCTCCCCAAAGAATTAAAAGAATCATACCACAGTAATATATGTGCACCTGTGTTCATAGCAGCATAATTTGTTATAGCTAAAATTTGGAAACAACCTGATTGCCCATCAACTGGAGACTGGATAAAGAAAATGTTTTTGTTGTTGTTGTTGTTGTTGTTTTTAATGAAGTGGAGTACTGTTCAGCCATAAACAATGAGAAGCTAGAGATATTTATAGCTAAATGGATGCACCTTAAGGCCATAATCAAGGGAAGTATATAGGACACACGTGTAAATGCTGAAAAATTTCTCTAGTGTGAGAAATTGTAAGTATGAATGAGGACTAAAAGGTGTAATATACAATGTGAAATAGGAAGAAAAGTTGCAAAGAGAAAGGGGAAGTAGGAGGGGTAGGGGAAAAGAAAGAAGGGAATGGAATTAATATAAGAAAAAAATCTTCATAGAGAGGGGTTGAGGGTTTGAAGAGAGGGCAGGTGAATGAGAACCAAGATGGATTATGTAAAAGTGAAAATTCCCAATGGTGAATTTAATTATATTGTATACCTTAAATGTACAAATAAAATTAATTTAAAAATGAGATGCAATTACAACAGAAAATACAATAAAAGTTACAGACTTAATATTTGTATTAGAAATGAAGCTGATATTAAATGATGGTAGAATTTATCTGAAGATGGTGGACAAAAACGCAGAATAATCCTATGGAAATTGGAAGGAAGGAAACAGTGAATTCTTTGTAACAAAATATCTATGAAGATCAAGAAAAAACACACAAACCCTAAATAAACACCAAACAATATTTAGAATAAAAAATAACCATAAGTATGGATGGAGAAGAGATTTAAAAAGTAAGAGAATATGAGGGGCAATATATGCCAATTAGTTTGGAAATTGATATGAAGTGAGAATTTTCCTAGAAAAATGAAAACAAATTTAGTTTTTCAAGAAAAAACTGAAACCCTGAATAATACATACAAGGAGAATTTTTAAATCTTCCCATAAAAATAAATTATGGATTTATATGTAAGCTTTAGAAAATATTTAAGGATCTGATAATTAAACAGCTAAAAATCCTCAAAGGCTCACAGCAAAGGCAAATAAGTGAAACTGCCAATATCATTATTGAGCAACTTGTCACCAAAACCTGAGAATACAAAACATAAAAAAGAGCATTATAGGCCAATTTACAAGTAATCAATGATTTTAAAATCTACTACTAATAATAATATTATATAAAAATCCTAGAGGAAGTAAAAGTGTATTATGCTACAACCGTTTATTCTACAAATGACAAATTGGTTTAACATCAAAAAATTTCCATTCCAGGTTCATTTATTATTGAAATTCACTCCAGTACAGGTTGAGGGGCAAAAAAAAAAATAGATCTTTTCAACAGAAGATCTATGTAGGAAAAAATTTTGATAAATAATACATAGTTCATAAAAAATAACTCAGCATGTAGTGGAAGCACGGTATTCTCAAAGAGTATCCATAAAACATAAATAAACAGAAATCCTATAGTCTGTGTCAAACTCAATGCTGAAAGAGTAGAAGCCTTCAGGCAAAATTGGGAACAAGCCAATAATTCTCATTCTGCTTACTATGATTCTGTTTCACTCTCAATTTAATATAATAATAGTAATAATAATAATAATTCTAAACAAAAATATACTTAATATTCAAGATTTAAACAGCTTAAAACTTCATAGAAGTTAGCAAGATTTCTAGATATAAGATTGGAGATGTATCTCAGTGGTAGAATGTGTGAAGTTCTGGGTTTGATCTTCAGCACTACAAAAATAAATAAATAAGATTTCTATAGCCAACAATAAATGTTAGAAAATATATTTTATTATACAATATCATGAGAAAGAATACTTAAGAGTAAATGCAACAAAATATAGCACTTGAAATGTTTTTTAAATTATCTAAAAAGAATAAATATACACTTTTCATGTAAATAATTCTTAAGAACATTTCAATTCTATTCATTTTGTAGACCCAAGGTTACTCCAAATGAATTAGAACAATGTTTTTTATAAAGCAATGTTTTTTTTTTCAAAGAGCATTCTAAACTCTATACGTAAGATCAAATAAAAATTTGTGAGGAGACTCATAAATTAAAAAAATAATAAAAATGATAAATAGAAAATAGGTATAGTTACTATGTCCAAATATTGTTCTAAAAGTTTTTCATTTCCTAATTTATTCCATCACTAAAGCCTACAATGGAGATTTTATTATGTCTCATTCCATCTTGCAGTTGACTAACTGGGGCTCAGAATAATTAAGTAATTTGCTCAAGTGACATTGTGACAGATATAAACACAAATAGAGACATCCTCCATTATAGCCTCATGCTCTGGGGATAACAAGACATACAGATGCTCAAGTATTTTATATAAAATGGTATTGAAAATGGCATAGAATTTGCATATACCTGACTCTCATCTATCCATATACATTAAATTATTGCCAATTTACTTACAATAACAAATACAATAGCATTTCTGTCAAAATTTTTGATTTTATACTGTCTTGCCAATTTTGAGAAAGACCTTTAATTTGCACTTTTCTAATTTCTGAGGTACATCTTTACAGTTTACACATGCTCACCAAATTAACATCCTCCAGCTGAACGTAGCGGTGGACACCTTGCGATCCCAACATTCTGGGAGGCTGAGGTGGGAAGATCTGAGAGTCCAGCCTGGCCAACTCAGCAACATCTTGTCTCAAAGCAAATAAATAATATATAAATAAATAAACAAGTTTGGAGACTAAGCTTATTATGTAGGCTCTGAGTTTATCCCCAAGTACAACGAAAAAGAAAGAAGAGTTGTAAGAAGAGATGGAGGAAGGGGGATGGGGGGAAGAAAAAAAGAAAAAGAAAATTACACCTCCAAATGATAAAAATTCTAGTTTTACAAATGTAGGATTAAAAGATGACTGTGCTAGGATTTGTAATGATCTAATTGTGAAGCAGGGATTTAAGAGTGTCTAAAGGAAGCAATCACATTACATTATAGTTACAATAAGTACCTGATAAGGGAGCCCTATATCATAATAGTAAGAAAAAAATCCTGAATATGTGATTGCCAGTGATATTTCACATCCTTTTCACTTTATGTTCTACTGCTGTTATATACTAAGTTAAGTAAAAGATAAAGAAGAAAAGTAAAGATCATGTAAAACTATTGATGGAAGTAGTTCAAATATGTGACTATTTCTAATTCCTTCCCACTATGGGAACTGTTCCATCAGTGTGGCATTTTCAAGGGTCTCATTGAGGCTGTCTTGGTGATGAACAAATGAACTTGGCTCCAAGAACTCTTATCTGCACAAATTGTATAGCCTCTCCCTCCAGGTGGTAGAAAGATTAGAAGCAAAGAAAGGAAAGGAAAGCATCGTGACATCCTGTTACCCTTGAGAATGCTGCCTAGATGCCTATGTTAGAGAGGATTTACCTGCTTACTTTGTGGGGGATGAACTGGCTCACACTGGACTTTTGGATTTGACCACAATATCCACCTTTGGCCCAAGCACTGGCGTCCCCCTTGATGGGGACACCATTCTTATCAGTTTCTAAATCCTCCTCCAATGCCCAGGAAGGCCTGGCTAGCAATGTATGGATAAAGCTTAGGGCTGGTCCTGAATGGGTCTTGGTCTCTGGAGGTACCTACTTCCAAATTTCTGAGTGACCCTTTTTGACTGGTTCGGGGTTGAAATGGGGCTTTCTCAGCATGGTGTGGAGAGCTCTGCCTTAGGCATGCCTAGTGTGTGGTAAAAATTGTTTCTTTCTGACCTCTACCCACATATGAGTAGAGCAAATGGCTTTGGGAACCTCTGGACTTGACTCTATAAGGCAATGTCATTGACTAGAACTTCATTATTTTCCTCATAGTCACCAAAGGTAACCTGCCAAAGTGGGGCTAACACATTGACATTGAGTGACTCACACTGTGACTCAAACTGGGACCAGTTCTGTCATTCAGTGAATCCCAGAAAAATAGGTTTAATACAAGATACACAAATATAGAAGAATGTAAAATACAGTCTTACAGTGGTCTCCCACAGCATCATGTGAGGAAAAGTGCAAAACTTCTGTCTGTGCGCTGGCGATCCAAAGGATCCAGTTGATCGTGGTGTTTCGCGCTAGTCAGGAAGCCCGAGGGTCTGTAGTGGAAGGCCGAAGCACCTGTGCTGGAGACTGCCCTGCAAGCTAGGAGACAACACCTGAGGTGAGGGTGAAGACTGGAGCTCTTTCAAAGAAACAGCAGTAAGCCTTCCTGCTTCATTTCCCTTTTACGACATTTAGGTGACAAGTTGCCCCTGAATGGGTCTTTTGTCTTCAATAAATCCCTTTAGCCACACTCAAAGCTACGCTGATCCTATTTAATTGAAGATTTCTTATTTAAATTGACACAATTAGTTAACTATCCAACCAGCTCAGGGCTCTGGGCTATTGAAATTCTGTGGCCAACCCTTAGGAGGTTTGTGCTAAACTGTCATTGACGCTCTCACCGTCCACATTGTGACACAGCACGAGAGTCACTGCGATGATTCTTACCCTATAGGTTTCACTGCTGGCGTTCAGGGCCGTCATTTACCCTGCGGCTCTGTACCTTGTTCACGTCAGGCAGTCCTAACCGATGTCTTGGGATAGTCACCAGTAGCTTGAAAAGCCACGATGCGGTACTGTGCTCTTCTCCAAATGGGACAGGAGTGCACATTCTTTGAGAACCAACCCCTCTTCACACTTCACCAGAGGTGTCTGGCCCTATTCTTATTGGTGGTGGTTCATAGGGAAGAGGAGTTTGTGGACAATGGAAGAGATACCTTTTGGAAAATTTTGTGTTCATTTACACAGTGGTGGCACACTTACAGCAAGCAGTTACACAGAGTCTTCTCTGCCAGCTGGTGATTCAAGTTTACGAGCTGTTTCTTCTAAACTAAAACCTCAGTATTTAGGTTTAAGTGCAATGTTGGTACTTTATGATAAGCAGGTTTTGGGTTGCAGTTTGGGCACTCATTCTAGAAAAGGTTTGCCATCACTGATTTAGAATTAGGCAATTGTAGAGGTAAGAAGATCCACATGGTTCCAACAGAAATGCTCAGCTATTCCACCGCTGGGTATCTTCCCAAATGAATTAAAAGAAACATACCACAGTGATATATGCACACCCATACTTGTAGCGGCACAGTTAGTAATAGCTAAAATTTGGAAACAGCCCAATTGCCCATCAACTGGAGACTGAATAAATACGTGTTTGTTTTTATAAAATGGAGTACTACTCAGCCATAAAAAAGAGACACCAGAGTCATTTATAGCTAACTGGATGAACTTTGAGGACATACTCTTAAGTGAAATAAATAGGACACCTGTGTAAATACCAAATGGTTTCTCTGGTGTGAGAATCTGAATAATGGCATTTAACATAATAACAGTATTTCTATATTTTTCTTTTTTGTTTGGTTTATTTTTAATTTTATTTTTTTATTATTATATATTTGTCATACATACTGATCACATTCATTGTAGGGAATTTATACCTGTTCATAATATATCTTCATTCTTTTTATCCTATTCCTCCCCTCCCTTCAAACCTTCTCCTTCTCATTTACCTAAATTTTGCTTCACTTTTCCCCTCCATTTTTTTCTTTTTTCTTTTCTCTTTCTTTCCTTCCACTTCCCACCTCCCTTGTTCTCCTTCCTATGTTCTTCTTACTTCTCAAAATCTATCCTCAGTTATGCCTCTTGTTTACATTTTGGGTTTCTCACACAAGAGAAGCTCTGTGATCTTTAAACCCATGTTCCCCATTTATTTCACTTAACATTATGTTCTTGAGTTGCATCCATTTTCCTACAAATGACTCAAGTTTTCCTGGCAGAGTAGGAGTACTCTATTGAATAAAAATACATATTTTTATCCACTCATCTTTTGTTGAATGTATGGCCATTTCCAAGATTTAGCTCTTATAAATTATATTTTTATAAACGTGGGTATGCATATATCACTGTGGTATGATACTTTTAACACTTTGGGGAAGATAACTAGGAGAGGAAGAGCTGGGTGAAATGGAGCCTCTAGTTTTAGTTATTTGAGGACTCTTCATACTTATTTCTATAGTGCTTGTACCACCAGCTTACACTCCTATCAACAATGGAGAAAGGATTCTTTTTCTGCAAGGCTCGCCAGCATTTGTTACTAGTTGATTCCTTGATGAGCCATTCTTTCTGAGGTAAGATAGAATTCCATTGTTGGTTTAATTTGTATTTGTTGAATTACTTGTGACATTGACCATTTTTCGTATATTTATTTGCATTTGTACTTCATCATTTGAGAAATATCTACTCATTTCTGATGACCTTTTTGAACTGGGTCTTTAAACTAGAGAGATCTACTTTTTTGAGTTTTTAAAAATATTTATTCTAGATGTTATCTTTTATCTGAGGAGAAGCTAGCAAGCATATTTTTCCATTCTGTGGATTATCTCTTTATTCTGTTGATTTTTTAAATTGATTTTTTGAAGATTTTTAATTTGATGTCATCAGAGTTGTTGATTCTTTGTAATAGTTTTGTGTGGTCAGGATTTTGTTCATAAAGACTGCATAAATCTATGTCTTCTAGTGTTTTCATCTATTCTATTTGTTAGCAGACAAAACTTTTATGATATAACATTTAGATCTTTGATTCATTTTGATTTTAATTTAGTGCATGGTAAAAGATATGGTCTAGGTTCAATTTTTGCCCCTTGGAAAGCCTATTTCTCAGCACCATTTATTAAAGAGGGTATCTCTTCTATTGAAGGTGTTTTCCCATTTGTCAAAGATAAGGTAGCTGAGTGTGCTTGGAATTGTTTCAGAATCTTATATTCTAGCTGTTCCATTGATTCTTAGGCCTTTTTTTCCAGTTCCCTGTTGTTTGTATCTCAGTAGCATTGCAATATAATTTAAAACCCAGCAATGTGATGCCTTTGCCTTGCCCTTGTCACCCAGAATTGCTTTTGTTATTCTAGGTCTCTTCTGATTCTATATGAATTTTAGGATTATTTTCTCTAGTTTTGTGAGTAAATTATTGGTAATTTGATTAGGTTTGATTAAGATATATACAACAGTTTTGGAAGTATGACCATTTTCATGATAATGGTTCTGGCTACCCAAGAACAGGGTATATTTTTTCCATTTTTTGATATCTTCTTCAATTTTCTATATTCAAGTACTATAGTTTTCAATGTATAGTCTTTCAGTTCATTTTTTTGGATTGATTCCCAAATATTTAATTTTTCTTGATGTTATTGTGAAAGATGTTGTTTTCTTGATTTCTCTTTCAGTGAGTTTGTTATTTATGTAAATCAATGCTATTTATTTTTTACTGTTGATTTTGCATTCTGCTATACTGCAGAATTTGGTTATTAATTCAAGGATTCTTTTGGTTGAGTTTTTGGGTCTTCTATGTAGAGTATCATGCCATCAGCAAATAATGATAACTTAACTTCTTTCTTTCCTATCCACATTCAGTTTATTTCTGCCTCTTGTCTAATTGCTCAGGCTAACATTTCCAGAACTATACAAAATAGGAGTGGTGATAGCGCTCATCCTGTTTGTTCCCGATTTTAGAGTGAAAGCCTTCAGTTGTTGACTATTAAGTATTGTGTTGGCTGTTGATTAGTCATAAATTGCTTTTATTGAGATAAAGATCTTCTATTTAAATTTTCTGTAAGTTGTTTTTTAATCATGAATTAGTGTTGAAATATATCAAATGGTTTTTCTGCATCTATTGAGATGACCATGTGGTTTTTTTTTCTTGGTTCTGTTAATATGGTGTATTCATTTATGGATTTGTATATGCTGAGCCATCCCTGCATCTCTGGGATGAGTCCTACTTGGTTGTGGTATATAATCTTGTTGATAATTGGCTGCATTCTGGTTGCCAGTATCTTACTAAGGAATTTTGCATCTATGTTCTTTATGGAGATTGACCTATAGTTTTATTTTTTTGGCTAAACACTTCTCTGGATTTGGTGTCAAAGTAATGATTGCTTGAGGAATGATTTGGGGAGTATTACTTCCCTTTCAGTTTCACTAAGCCATTTGAGGAGTAGTGACATTATATATTCTCTAAATTCCTTGTAGAATTCAGCAGTGAATCCATCAAAACCTGGGCTTTTCATTGTTTGTAGTTTTTTAATTACTTCCTAACTTTCAATGACTGATATTGGGTTATTTAGAATTTTTATCTCTTCTTCATTCCACTTTGGTAAGTTTTTCATCTTATTAGAGTAAAGGCACTCAGAGTAGGAATTGATCATTTCCTGAATTTCTGCAGGATCTATTATGATTTCCCCCTTTTTATTCTTTCTTGCATAGATTTGGGTCTTTTTTTTTTCTTTTCTGATAATGTTGGCTAAGTCTATTCTAGTTAATTTTTCTCCAAACCAAGTCTTTGATTCATTGATTCTTGGTATTGTGTTCTTAGTCTGTATTGTTGCATTATTTCTTCTCTGATCTTCATAATTTCCTTCTTCATACACACTTTTGGTTTAACTTGCTCTTCTTTTATAGAACCTTGGAGTTCAACATTAGGCTATTTGTTTGAGCCTTTTGTTTTTCTGACATGGGAATTCACTGCTGTAAATTTCCCTCATAGGTCTGCTCTCATTGTGTCCCATTAGTTCTTGTATGTCTCATTTTACTGTAGATAGTGATTAATTTCTTCTTTAACTTCATCTGTGACTCTTTGATTGTTCAGGAGAGTGTTATTTAATTTCCATTTGTTTACGTAGCTTTTGTGATTTCTTTTGACATTATTTCAAATTTCTTGTCCTACAAACTGATAATATGCATGGGATAATTTCAATTATGTTCATTTACTAAGCATATTTCTAGTGCCTACTTTGGAGACCATTTCATGTGCTAGTGAATAGAATGTGTATTCTGTTGTCTGGTGGAACACTGTAGATATCAACCAAGTTCATTTGTTCAAAGTCATATATTTCTTTGTTGATATTTTGTGTAGGTTTTCTGTCTATTTGTGACAGTGGGTATTGAGGTCCATCACTTCAATTGTATCAGAGCTTATCTGATTTTTCATACCCATTAGTGTTTGCTTTTTATAGTTTGGTGTGCCAGTATTTGGAACATATATATTTATGATTGTTATCTCTTACTCTAGGATTGTACATTTAATAAATGTGTAGTGAACTTCTTTGTCTCTTCTGATCGGTTTTGGCTTGAAATCCATTTTGTCTACATATAGAATAGGTAGTCTCTCTCTTTTTTTTTTTTCAGAATTCCTGTTGCATGGAGTATTGTTTTCCAACTTTTGACTTTCAAAGTGAATTAAAATCACATTGCTGGTTATAATTCATATGTGTTCAATATCCCTGTCAGATTATTTTCCTGTTATTACTTACCATTTCTTTTCCTTCTGTTTAATTGCTTTCCTTGCCTTCTGGATTTATTCTACTGGAATTCTTGGCACTATTGTC